TCCCATCGTATTTTCATTTCATGACACAAATTCTAGCATCAATTTGTAATTGATTTTCGTTAATAAACAAATTGTTGAAACGTTGATTCTGGAATTATATAAAGAGGGATTTTTAAGAGATTTTTGTGAATCGAAATCTTAATTACTGAATAAATTAATTTTTCCTTATTCTTTAATTAATTCCTGCTGGATTCTATTAAAATATTCTATTTTTTTTATCTTTGTGATAATATAAGTAATATTTTAATAGAGTAATTGATTTCAATATAAATATTTTAATAATTTAATTGAAATTAATTAAATAAAATAATTAAAGGAATTAATTAATGTCACAAGCATATTTGATATGCTTATTTTTTGTTACAGCAATGACATGGCTCAAACATTACCATTTTGGAATTACTTATAGTAAAAAAAAGGAACACAAAAAAAGAAGGAAGGTATTTTAAAATCATAAAAGAACATTCCTGTACAATCAGTTATTATACCAAAATTACATTTTAAAATTAATATCATAAAATTTTAATAAAATTTCAAGACATTCAAACTCATTTTCTAAAAAAAATCTTAGTTTTTTTGTCATTGTTGTAATAAATAAGTGATGTCGAATATGGAAAGTTGCGAGAAAAAGGACACCCACTCGAATTTCCTCTCGAATGCGGAAGATTAACGTCGAATTAATCTCATTACCGTAATTGAGGGTTTCATCTCTAGGTATATCGCAAGACGCCATCGCGAATCCAGCTTCGTCGCTACGCGGGATGTGTGCGCAACGATCTACCCGATATTTCTAAACCACCCCGCCTACCTTATGCGGCAAACTTAATGCATTTGCCCGCCTGTGCATCCACAATACCGGGCATAATTATAACACTGAACGGCGCAGTTTCGAAAGGAGCGTTCCAAGTCACTCGAAAGATCGGCATGCCCTTAATTTATGGATTTACCAGCCTCTCATGTGTTGCGATATATTTCTTGCTCTCACATTTTCTTCTGAACCGGCTGCCTAATGAGACTACGAGACTGCCGCCACGCCGTGGCTAAGCGATAAAAACGGGAAAATCCGCTTCGGAATGCTAATTAGCTGAGCAGTTACAGCATTGAAATCTCACATTTTAGAAAATTTCTTTTTTTAAAGCGCATTAAATCGCACTAAAGCACTAAAGTAAAGCCTGTGAATAATTGAACGTTATAGAAATAGGGAACAGATTTCAATTTATTAGAAACCGTGTATACTAGAATACAGATAGATTGAAATCTGTTATTCCCTGTTCGTATTACTTGTACCTTTCAATTATGTCTCAGGCTGTATTCCGTGTTTGTAACAACAAAAAATGAATTTACTGAGATTGCATCCGATTTTTCATCGAAAGTGCGCGTTCATAAATTGACGTGTTCGATGAGCCGATATAATTGAGCATGCGGTAATCGATTTCCTGTTGCGCAATGGCAGTAAAAAGGAGGCCATAAACCGTGATGTGCTCTCTGTAACAATGGCTTAGTATCGACCGCATGTCAATATCTTTGAGACGCGTAACGAAGGAAGGACCCGCGGCGAATGAGAGAATGAAGTCTCCGCATCCCGAGGATCATTTATCGCCGAAGAATCGCTGCTGAAAGCGGGCGAGAGATTTGCTCCTATTATATATATTAGCCTCGCTTTCGCAATTCGGCGTTACCGAGGTTTCTCCTTCGTCGTCATCGTATCTCTGACGGCTCCGGCAAATCGGGTTTCTCGACGATCGCCGTCGAAAATGATCATGTCAGTCGCGATAAGTCATTTTTTTTCATTTGTTTTTCTTTATTGCAAGTGACACTTGTATTTTGTATATCGCCATCGTTCGTGCTTGAACGATTTCAATCGAGCGAAGAAAAAGTGTCGCTTGATTTGGCGTTCGATCTTTGTGACAGACCAGCTGCGTCATTGGAAACTGATGTTTCCATCGCGGTTTCTCGCGATTGCCAGTATCGAAAACTGGGAGAAGTGCTGTTGATTCAGCTGACGAAAAGAAAAATGCTGTTGTGCATACACGCGCTTTCTGCTTTTGGTATCAATGACGTACTGCCACCGGAGGAATCTTGATTAGCCTATGTCGACGATGAAAATATCGTGCAACGTATCGCTGCGAAAAGTTTCGCGAAAACAGACGTCCCATATTTGTGTAATCGGTGAAAGTGCCAATAATCGGACTACCCCAGGCAGTTCTCCAGGTCGCAGATTGTGCCAATCGCGCTGTGATTTCTTACTATCGGACTCGAGGCATTTCGTACATACACGCATCCGGAATTATTCCGCTTCCACTTCAGCAATCTGCGATGTGCGTGCGAGATCATCTGCGTTTCATGCGATTAAGGACCATAGCGCACAAAAAACTTGAGTAATAAAACCTAAGTAGTAAGTAAATTGGCCAATTACAGTAGAGACCGTAAGGCTATAACGTAAATAGTAGCAAATCCAACATCTTGATTTTCTTACTGTTTATGTTTTACTGCTTAAGATTTTTGTGTGCTAGAGTTTTAACTCTGCTTTTCTTCTTTCGTCTTCTTATTTCTTCAAAAATTTTAATGTCATTCCTCAAGATTCTTCATGGATTTTCTTCCATTTCTCATGTATCAAATTGTATTAAATTGTATTTCATTAAGAGAGTTTCAGAGTTTAAGAAAAGCAGTATTGCTGATGTTCCTTTTCGAAGGATCGTTTGTTTGTACTTTTGTATTTCTAGACATATTGATCTGTATTTTTCTTTTTGTCTGTACCTAAATAAAACCCTATTATTAAACTCTTGTTTAGTAATGAACCCGTCTGAGAGATCGAGCTATGAAAAGTGAGAGATAATAAGGAAACAATCATGATATAGAAACGCTCGTGAATTATTAATAAGTGTTTAATTGTCGCCTTATGCCAAGCCGCGAGAAAAGGAATCGGAGAAATCGACATTAATATCCGTATACAGGATCCTTGTGTATTTCTTCGCACGATTTGCGAGTTATACTTGTGCTGCAAGTGCACGGGTGAAATCGGCAATTATTAAATATTCCCACAACAGCTTGCCAGGTCTGTTGTTTATGAGTGTAAGAACACACGTGGTAATTGATTATTATGCGCTTTTGAATAAGTGCATGAATGTAATTATTTAGTTTCAAGACAAATTTAGTTTCAATAATGCTGACTCAAGTTATTGGTCATGCGAAAACTTTACAGATAAAAGAAGAAACATTGTGTCTATCGATCTTAAGCGACACGGGTCAAGAAAGGTGAACCATGGACCAGCAGCATATAACAATGCCGACAGCTATAACCAGAATATGAATAGAACTTTCACTATTAATCAATAAGGCACGTAATGAGCATATTTGAAAAGTGCAAGTCGACGCAAAAAATATCAGGCTAACGAAATCGGCCGTAATCAACGTAATCATATTTGTAAGGTAGCTTTTAAAAATTTCACCTGGATGCATCTACGTCATCATTTTTATCTTTATTGATCATCGAATTTCAATAAACAAAAATAAAATGATACTACACTCAAAAAAATGATCTTGCAGTTATAATGAAAATTATCTAAGTATGAAAAATAGCTAAAATAGATCAATTTCTAGCAATTACTACGATATTGGATATCTATTGCATCTAATCATATAAATGACAGAGAATTTACATTTGTGTTATAAATTCTGTCTGCATGATACATAATTTTCTATCGGATACAAAAAAAGCTGTAATTCTAGCTGGAGCAACAAAATATTTTTTTGCATGATATATACATTCAGATAATGTTTTTGAACGCAGACCCGTGGATTTCGAGACGCGAGTTTACTTCCCATTCAACAAAAGATTACATTGCCCAACCATCCGGGTGTGGGTTCATTAAGGTAACGGATGTCAACAACTTCTTGCGGAATACAATTAATTCACAACTGTTCGCGGGAAAACTGTTGCAATTTTAGAGTTCAACAGCTTCTTCGGGTCTGACAGGTCTTTCGCACGAATGAATGATAAAAAGAGGATTTTTCTAGCGAAAATTCTCGTGGCCATGCATGGAACACCAAGTGGGCGAACACAATTCACTTTCCGTTGTTAATCATGTGCCGTCTATATGAATTATAAATGTTTTCACACGCGCGCACGTAAATTGCAATAATGAACTGCATAGATCTTATCGAGATTCTGATTTTCCTGCGTTAATGACAGTTAATTTGATATAGGTCACATAACAATAATCAGTTTTTAAACACCACGATTAATATTTTTAATATTTAATATTTTAATTAATATTTTAGTGTAAAACATATAAATGTTTCTTATATAATTTAAATGTTCACGATACAACGATAAAATAATGAATATATAAAAAAAATATTTATACTAATTTTAAACAATCTTATTGTCAATGATACAAATATAATTATCAATAGTAATTAGTACTTATAAGTCAATTTTGTGACAAAAAAATTTAAATAATAAATCTACTCAATACATCTATATAATATAATGTAAAATAATGTATAATATAAAAAAGATCTAAGCAATTTCAAGAATGTAAAAAAATTAATTATATTGCCATATTGTAGTTTCTATTGTTGCATGTAACATATCTCTCTCCATAGAATACATTAAATAAAGTTTAAAAAAGAACAGAAAAATCTTTTATATATCTTTTTTTGATTTATGTACTTATTAGTTTCGAAAACTTTTTTGCAATATGTACCGCTGTAATATCGATGCATTAATATATACACGAAATATTTGAAACGTTATTATTTTCGTCAAACATTATTAAATTTTCCTTTATATCAATTTTTCACAAATATAGTGCATTACGCGCGTTATATGAAATGCGGATATTAGAAAGAAATAAACATCAGAATTATAACACGTTAAAATTTCCGAAAGGTGTTTCCGAAAGGTGAACATAAGAAATCGATTAACCGCGGAAAGAGAACACGGTCGATGGAAATCACGCGCTTACAACAAAATAACCGAATAATTTGACACATACCAGTAATATAATCCTCATGGTGCACGCGTTGCTGACAAGGAGAGGAGGTACTACTACTTGTTGGGGAACGATCCTCCGAGAGTTTCACTGAGAGAGTGCAGCCGTATAGTACCGTGCTCGGTCCTTTATAACCTACACGAAGGCTTTTGCCTATAGTGGGGGCCCGGTCGTCGTCGGATAACAGCTACGTCCTCTTTGACACCGCGACACTCGCGAATTAGGTTCTGTGTCTAGGGAGGACCGATGACATGGCCATTGCCAAACAAGCACGCGCTCCACTGCGATTGCAAAATCTTTTGTAATTGCGTGCACATTGAAAATGTGCTAAATGTGCGTGGTCATTCGACATGAGCTCCGAAAAGGGGTACAAGAATCAGATCGGATAGGGTCGTGAGAACTGATTCTGTGTACGCGCGCCTGAAACAACGCTTCGCCACATTGTGCCCCATGTCAAATTAGATTGTCAGCGTCTATCGAGATATGATGATGGAAAGGTAGTTCATATAGGATAATGGAATATCCCCTCGGGATATTCACTGCACAAATGAGCAGCGAGTTAGCGTATTAATTATTATTTTAAAACGATTCTGCGTTGTGGCACGTAGCAGGGTTTCTTCCGTATCTTATGTTATACTTTCGCATACATCTCTGTCAATTGAATCTCTCAGCTCATGATCGTATGTTTATGACAACAATTGATCATGTGAAGTTTTCGTCAAGCAATTTCTTTACAATTGAATTGTTGAAAGTTGGGTTTATATGTAGACTGATTCTAACCGTGATATTAGTGTGTGAGTGTTGTTTTTCTTTCATTGATAATTTATTTAATTTTATAATGCTCTGAATCCAAAGTCATTATCACTTCGTACTCACAGCAATTTTACACTGCTTAATTACAACGAAGTGCGTGCAAATAACATGCATTATGCGAGCGAGCATGGCGGATTGGCATACGAAAGTTTAGATCGAACGATAGACCAGATCGTGCAGGGTCGTGAGAAAAATTTGTACACGTGGGTGAATACATTCGAGATTGATGTTCTACTGAATACATTTTATGGAAGTTCTTTTTTTTTATTTAAACTCTTTTTTTGCTTTGGTCTAATATTTGCATGTAATTATATTGCGTATTTTAATTTTAACATTAATAAAAATATAATGCAGTCACTAAAAGAGATCCTGAGATTAGTATACCATATGCTTCTTTTTTTCGACATTCTATAAATAATTATGATAGTACGAGGCTTTTATTTAAAACAAATTATCTAGAAAAAATAAAGAATATTTTTCTTATCATTTCATTAATAGATATTGATTGCGTTCAGCAAAAAACTTCGCATTCGTAAAATGAGATTCAATTCCACTTTTTAAAGAAATGTATTCTAAGGCAATATTCTTTGAGAATATAATTAGATCAATAATTAATAAAATAGTATGAATTATAATAGACAATAAAGAGTGTAACCAGTGATTATTTTAAACTTATGATAATATAAGCTTTTATAATTTAGAAGAATTTTATTTAGAAAAAATAAAAAAAATTATAATTGTGTAATGCTGTAATGACATTAGAACAAAACTAGAGCACTATTTTAGTGCTCAAATAATATTTTCGGTATTAATTTACATGTCGCTGTGTAACACTACAATACGCCGAAATCATTTTCAGTCTTAAAACGCAGTCATAAACCAAAATGGGATAGTAATATCATAAATTAAATTAATGAGCAATTTAATAACATTGATGCTGATAAGCATTTTGAAAAAAAGATGTAAACAAGCATTCGATGTTAATAAGCATCTTTTAGAACTATAAATAATTTATTGTAAATAATATTACTTCAGCCGGCATTCGAACTCGAATAAAAAATTCTCGGTAAAAAATTCTTTTTCTAGGTATCTAGCCATTAATAAATATTAATTGCAGAAAAAGTAGCTTTACAACTATTACAAGAATCTTTAATATGATTGATTATACTTTAGCTCCAGTGAGAAACTAAAAGCAAGAACCGATCATATTAAAAAAATCTTACAGTTGCTAACTACTTTTTCTACGAATTATTGATTTATTTCTTATAAATTACGCTTGTTACGTTCCATTTATTTTCATTTTTAACATCCTGTTTCTGTTTATTTGCATTAGAATAAACAAAATAAATAAGCACTGGAAAAAGAGATCTGATTGATTAACAAGAATTCTGCTTGAAAATGTACAAAATTAATATATATAGAAAATTAAGAATTTTTTGATTGAATCTATTATAATTCTAGTTGAGATAACCAGAATTCTGATTGATAGAATCTTCTGGTTCATCCATTTTCAATCAGAAACTTTTCTCAGTGAAATCTTGAGATTTTCCAATAAATATCTTTACTCAGGTGTGAAATAAACGAAACAATATTTAATAATCCACGATATTACTGGTTTTATCGCGCAGCAAACGCAGATAGAAATATCAATAGAAACGGTCTCGGTGGATCTTAAGGACGATGAGCACCAGTGAGAAGAAGAAAGTGACGGAGAGACCGCGATGGAGTGGCTAATATCACATTCAGGTGCCGCGCGAGAATGATGTATATTAATTCGGGAGAGTCACGGGGTAATTGATGTTCCTATTTCTTAAGTTAGTTGCGAAGCATCCGCGCGCGATCTATGTGAAGCCTGAAAGATGACGATACGCTTTCGCTCGTTGTTATTATGGACGGAAGAATACTTAGCATAATCGATATAGTCATCGATTCGGCGTGTCTGCTTGTATTCATCAGCTTATCGAATTTGTAATAATGAAGGCAAAGTCAATTATCAATTCATGCTCATGTAATTCTGCACTGCTTAATCATAATGTGGATATAAATATTTGATACATCGGGATCGATTCTAAAAAAATGATTTCAAATTGAGTAATTCTTGAACAATAGTGAGAGGACATTATCACGCAAATGCCGGTACTAATTGCATTAATTGCATCCTCAGCAGTGTAAGTATCGCATAAAATCGATAAAAGTAGTCCATTAGAGAGATTTCAATTCCGCGGAAATATATCGGCGACTTTCGCGATACAGCCGGCTTTCAAATTTCTGTGAAATTATCATAAAATTTCATAGCAATAAATGGCGACGCGTAGCAGCCGCAGTATTCAAGTGAATACTTACTTATTCCGTTTCAAGATTTATATCGATATCGGAGCCAATTTCTCAGGAAGAAATTGCATTCACTTGCTTTTATTAGGTCGGATGGAGGCGTATTCGAGTTCACTCTCGGTATCATCAATGGAAAGACGAGGCGAATGGATACGCTTGCGGCGCCGGCACCGCGCGAAACGTGGAACACGATGTTATTACTTCTCGAAGCATCGATTCATCTCCACGCGAGAAGAGGCACGTGCCTAGACACTTGGTTCATTATCAATGCTGCGGCATTTTCTGCTCAGCTGATCATCTTGACTTCATCACGAAGCATTAGCGATCCACAATGTTGTGACAGTAATGAAGTCGCTTGACAGTAAGAAACAGATGTATGTACAATTGTTTGATCTGCTTAAGTTATAATACTATCTTTATCACAGCATTGTTATTGTCAATAACTAATGATATAAAATATTATTATATTATATAAACAACAGAATTCTTCAATTTCTAGCATGATTTTTTTAAAGAGATTTTTGAGATTTTAAAACTATACTCTTTTCAATATATTATCATATTTATAATATTATGTTTACATATTATGTTTCTGCGCGAAGAATTTTAAATATAAAATTAGAAAACATTAGTGACGTTTAAATATAAAAAGATAAGATACGTGAATTTAAGAAATTGTAAAAAAGAAATTAGAATATAATAGAAATAATTTTTTTCTGGTATCTCTAACAATTATGAATATATTGTACACAATCACGTAATATTTCGACTATATATTTGTATAATATGTAGAGAATTATATTGAGTTGATATATAGTTCATTATTATTGTTGCTATACATCTTAATGTGATCGCGAGCGGATTCCATGGCGCTCAGCTGACCGTCTTAAAACTTTCGAAGGGGAAAGTTATTTTCACGAAGCTATTTTCACACTCGCAGATCCGGTCTAAGTGTTTACAGGAGCGTTACATATATCTTCGTTATTCACTTGTAACTTGCGTGCAACTCGTAATTTAATCAGTTTTATTTCCTGTATTGCGTAAAAATTTATTCGGAGACTATCACTCCGTTACGCATTTATACGGAACTTACCGTTATTGATATTAGAACCAACAACGATTAATATATATCCATTTGTATTATTCATAATATATTATATTTATATCTCTTTTAAAGATGAGGGAAAATAAATTAACCTATTTACATATTGCAATGAAGGTCAAACAAAAAACGCACTGTTATAATTTTAATAAAAACTTATAAACTACGTTTATTTTGATTGCTTTTGTAATTTTAGTGTTAATTATCTTGATGAATTATGAAATATTTTTTCTCGTAATAAATTAGTCGAGCTGTTTAAACAATTTAATTGTATTTAGCATTTTTGAAATTCAAAGAAATAAACTTAAATCGAGAAGAAAAAAAGGAGATCATAATTCTTTTAATAAATTTAGAAAATTCTAAGTTTAATATATGTGAACAAATCATGTTTAGTGAAAAAATATGACATTATGACAGAAAAATTTCAATTATTTCCTCCAAATTGTGCCTCGATTAAAAGTCACGATTGCTTGCATCAACGTTATCGTAGATTTCGTGCAACTCCAACGGAGAGCATAAATTCAGCCGAGGTAGGTGAAGCTTGCCAGCCTGGCATCTAATGTTGAAATCCGACGGAGCGTTTTGCGTGACTGGCCTGGCTGACAAGTGTCAACGGCCCGTTACGACTAGCGTGTACATATAATTTCACGAGCCACGCGTGATTTTCCTTCATTACGAATTTTATAGCGCAAGTCATGTTCTACCTCGTCACCGAGTCGCGCGTTATCGCTAGTCTATAATCAACGAGTAAGTCGATAAGAATAATTGAGATTCTAAAAAGAATTAGATTAAGGTGATAATTGACGATATCTCGATACGCGTTTTAGCTTTCTAAGCAG